TTTATTTACTTATTTTATACTGTTAATTTTAATTTTATATTATTATGCTTGTATCTCAGTGTATTTTTTGCATTTTTGTATTTAATGGTAATTTATTATGTTCTGTTGTATTTCAATGTATTTTATTGTGTTGTAAGCCGCCCCAAGGCTTCGGCAAGGGGCGGCATAGAAATGTTATAATAATAATAATAATAATAATGACCCTTCCATTGCCATAAATTGCAATGCTAGTCACCGCATCTGGATGGCCCCCAAAGGAGATGGGGCAAATTCACAGAGGAGAAGGCCATCCATGGCTACTAGTCCTGATGGCTGCTTGCTAGCTCTAAGAGCAGGTGTTGTGTGGCTGTGCGCCCCAGCTGCTCAGGAACATGGGTGGGAAGGTGTGTTGGGGGCAACTGGTTGACCACCTGGTCTCATCTGGCTGGACTCTTCCCATCCGTGTTCTTATCCGTGCTTGTGGTATGTGTGTGATGAAGTCAAGGAGCCTAAAGAGAAATGGTAGGCAAAGGGGAAGGTGGTAAATCAGGGAAGAAGAGGCAGCTACACATGGCAGGTTAGGAGAACCATGGGACAGGTGACTTTTGAGGAAGGAATCCAGTGAAGCAAGGAAAAAACATTCCCTCTGTGCTTGTGACTTCTCCCGTTTTCCTCCTCTTTCAAGGACAGTGTCCTACTCTGTCCTCGCATTCTTGGGTCGTGCCTTGTTCTTCGTGATGGGCTTCCAAGTCAACGTGAAAGGGGAACCAGCCAGCCCAGAGCAAGCGCCCATCCTTGCCGCTGCACCCCACTCCAGCTTCTTCGATGGGATTGTCTGTGTCATGGCCGGCCTGCCATCAATAGTATCTCGGCAAGAAAACCTCGCCGTGCCCATTATTGGCCGTAAGTATCGTTCGCAAAACCCAAAGGAAAGTGGGTCAGTTTTTCCAGGTTTCTGAACTGGTCTGCTAACATGTATTTATTTATTTACTACATTTATGTGCCACCTATAGCCCTGTTTGTATTTGTAGGTCGCTCCATATCTAGGCAGACTCCAGGCAGGGAAAAGTTGGACAGCTCAATCAGATAAAGTAATCAAAACAGCCTAATAATAGATGTTAGGACAGTGGTTGGACAGTAACAAAGTCTTCTGGGCACAAAGATAATTTCAGCAAGCACCAAAAACCAATGTCAGTGATCTCCAGAGGCAGGGAATTCCACAGAAATGGGCCTACCAAGCTGAAGCTCTTCTCCTGCTGAGCACAAGTCTGGACACAGCTTCGTGTCAGGTCACCAAGAGACTATCTTCCCATGTCCGTAGTGACCATCAGGTTGGTAAAGGATATTGCACCAACACATGTGGCAGAATGAGTTGGTGCAATTCTTAGGAACCAGTCCAAAGCGGAGTGTAGAATGCTGGACTAAGGCTGGAGAACCTGGGTTCCAATCTCTTCTTAGTAATAAAGCTCATCATGCCCAGCTCAAAGCCACATGAACTGCAAAGATACCCTTAAATTGCTTTTTCCCCTTTTTGTGATCAGGGCTACAGAGGTCCTTCCAGTCCAAAGGTGGAATTCAAGCCAAGTTTCAGTTTTTGGCAGGGACAAAGAAAGGAAGGGAGGCCACCAAACAATAATGTGATAGGGAAAGGGATGGGAGGAGAGGAAAGGGGTTTGCCTTTCTGGGAAACAGTAGGGAGCTGAGTTTTGTATTTCAAGCAGGCCAGGTTTGCCCCGTGACCTAGTGTGGTAGATTGTAAATACAGAAATGGCAAACTCGCACCTTCTCTCTCCACCCCCGCTTTCTCTCACTCCTCTTTTGAAAGATCCTTAAAAATACCTTGAGTTCACCAGCAATGGAAGAATGTATATTTTTAATGCTGTTGATTATTTATGGCTCTATTTTTAAACAGGAATCCTAAGTGCTCTCCAGCCAGTTTTGGTGTCCCGGGTTGATCCTGATTCTCGGAAGAACACAATCAATGAAATAAAGCGACGCGTGACTTCGGGAGAACACTGGCCCCAAGTACGATATGAAGTTCCACTGAGCTGCTGAAAAGCTGAGCCATATTTTGGTGAAATAGTTTCTCCAGATACTTTGTCGCAGATGGACAGCGCAAGCTCAGGAGAATTGTTCTGATTGGTGGAGAATGTTATAATGATATAGGAGAGAGAAAGGACAGGAGAATCAGAGATGCTTGCAGACACCAAAATTCTCCAAGCTTGACTTCAGTCTTGTTTTGGCTAGTTTGCATTCTTGCTGTAACTATATTTTTTAAACCCAGTTGGGTGGGAAATGCACACTTTTTTAACAGTGTGCACTTTCTCTTCTAATGAAAATGTGCATTTCTTAAGAGTAAGCATGCCTTTTTCAAATTTGCCAATGCAATTTCAGGTTTGAGACTTCATCAAGGGTTCTGAACATGCACTTCTGTGTCCGTCAAGGTTGCATCCAGGGTAATACAAACGTGTTGCAAACTGAAACTTGGAGTTCAGCTCAGTTTGAAAAACCCCAAATGCTTCCATCATTTTTCATAGGAAGTGTTTCCTAGCCCCTTGGTCATATTGGTGACCTCTTCTACACCTTTCCCCCATCATGGCAAGTCCCTTTTCAGAAAATATTGGCAGGCTTTCCCTTAACACAAGCTTCCCGTGACTTCCAGCAACCCTTAAAAATGCCAATATCATTCTCATGCTAGTTATACATCCACGATGAAAGGGAATAAATAGAACGCATCATTCAGACCCACAACTTTTCTGGGTGTCCCCTCATCCCAAAGGTTGCAAAGAATTCAGTAAAGAATGTGTAATATTGAATTTCCACTTTTCCCAACCGGATGCAGACCGGATGTGTTGGCCTTGCAGGCTGGGGATGGTAGGAGTTGTAGTCAGACACATCCAGACAACAGTTCTTTTATGTGATATGGTTGGCTGAAAACAGGCTGGGTTAGATGCCCTCTGGTGGTGAAACCAGGATGGAGAGTGTGTGTGAGAGAGAGAGAGACACAGAGCGAGGGAGATCCTTAAACAGCTATCAAAAGATGTAGGTGGATTATTAGTGCTTGTGAAGTAAACTAAATTACAAACAAATACCTTCTACTCTGAGCATTAATGAAATAAAATTTTCTTGCCTGCTTGTTTGTAAGTACTGAGTCAGAATAGGCTTCGAAGTGGAAGTTGAAGGACTTTGACAGTAAACTTCTCGTACAAGCCTGTGGCTCCTTGAACCTACGGGTCAAATTTAGCACACTCTGAGTTCCTCAGTGGGCTACATCCCTTTTCCTGATCTCTTTCCACTGGTGGTTACGATTTTTCTAATGGTACACCCATTCTCCTGCCCATTCCTAGAGGATAAAGTAAGGCTTAGCTGTTGAGAATACAGGCACTACGTTGAAATGGGTTCATATTTATGTGCTTTCCCCTTCGTCTTCAGCCCCAACCCACTTCTGAAATTCAGCCCCTGGGAGCTTCTTCTGACTTGAATGTGGTCCTTGGGTAGAAAGAGATTAAATTCCCCTGCAGGCAGAATACGCTCGAAGGACCCAGGGCTTTCTGTTTTGCTTTTGTTTTAATGTACACAAGAGAGGTGGTTGTGGAATCAATGAACACAACACTTAGGGAGTAGAAAAGAAGAGATCTTTCTGCAATGTGGCATAAAATAGGATTTCAATGTCTGGATAGGATAGGACAATGATCCTTCCCTTGAGAATTGGGATGAAGCAAATGTGACCTCATTTTCTCCGCCAAATGTTAGAGTAAGCATGACAGCAAGAGCAGACATACGAGGCCTTCTCAACTTGCTGCATTCCAATATCCATCATCCCCAGTCCATATGACCAGTGGCTAGACATGATGGAAGTCAAGTCCATCCATATCTGGAAGTTTATAGGATCTGAACTAAATTTGGAGTTCAGTTTGTGATCTGCACTCCGATCCCAGAAATAGACTCCAACTGGTAAACTGGTCCATTCTTGTTGTGGTTCACACAATCTCATGCGAAAGGGTATTAAAATATCAGATTTTTCAAAGAGCTGATGTAGTGCAGTGGTGAAGAGTTGTGGGAATGAGATGCAGGGGATCAGGGTTCTAGTCCCTACTTGGCCATGGAGCCCACTGGGTGACTTTGCGGAAGTCCTAGACTCTCAGCCCAACCCACCTCACAGGGTGGTTGTTGTGCAGGTGAGATGGAGAGCAGCAGGAAGAGAATGATGTAAGCTGCTTTGAGTTCACCGTGAGGGAAAAAACAGGGTATAAATCTAATAAATCCATAAATTTGTGCAACAGTTAAATAAACAAAATGTGTAATTTTCTTTTTGTATCCCAGATCTTGATTTTCCCAGAAGGCACATGCACGAATCGGTCATGTCTCATCACATTTAAACAAGGTAAGGAAATCTTTTCCAGACTTTTATTTTTCCTGAAAAGCAAGAGCTGGGTTTGGTTGTGGGAGCAGGGGAGGATGCTTCAAATTGTAGACAATGATCTGAAACGTGATGTATGTATTTGGATGCTACAAAATAAGAAGCTGATTTGAAGAAAGAACCTGGGGGTTTGTCAACTTAAAAGCTGCATTTGTAAACATGTACCTTTCAGGGTTTTTATTTTTAAGCCAGAATCCCAAAACTACCAGCCTACTTTGTAGTTTCCAGCTCTTACTGCTGTTAACTGGCCATAGGGGAATTACTCCAGACTTTTAGGAAAGGCAAAACCCAATCCAGAAAACTGCTGAGGGAGAACTTACGTGGACTGGGGGTTGAACCAAGAACAGGACTGGCTCACTGGGAGTCCAGTCCCCAAAGCCCTCCTCCCTGCTTTCCCCCAGCCTCCCTCCAATCCTCCAAGCCCCCGTCCTTGAATAGTTCCAGCCTTTCTGCTGAGGGCCGTACCTGCCCTCCAGGTGTGAGCTTTCCTCCATAGTGATACCCTTCATGGCCTAACAAGTGGCTTGTATTTCTAGGGGCGTTTGTCCCAGCTGTCCCTGTTCAGCCAGTGCTTATTCGGTACCCAAACAAGCTGGTAAGTTGATCACATCATTCTTCTCTCCAATTATTTCCTCAAAAATCATTTCATTTATTTTAATGCATTTGTTTCATTTCTAGCCTACTTTTTCCCTGCAAAGAATTCAAGGAGGGTGACGCAATTCACCTCCTCGTGTTTTTATCCTTACAACAACCTCCCCATGAAACGGGTTGGACTGAGAGTGAGTGACTTGCCCAAAGTTGTCCAGGAAGCTTCATCGAGTCATAGAATAGTAGAGTTGGAAGGGGCCATGAAGGCCTGTGGGTCATGGCCAAGTGGGGACTAGGACCTGCATCCCCAGTCCGATACTTTACCCACCACAGCACATGAGCTATCCCACTGCTACTCCAGCCTCACTTTCCATATCCCAAATTTCTGGCACAGTTCTTACATTGGTTGACTAGGTTATTTGCTGGAGAAGATGTCCTGATCTGTTCTTTTGCTTTGTTTTCAACCATCAAGGATACCGTGACCTGGACGTGGCAGGGCTACAACTTGTAAGTGCAATGAAGTCATACCAAATGTGCTTCTCACAGGTAGTTGTTCCACAGGTATTGCTCAGGATCAGCCTATGCATCATGCCTCTCCTTTCTTTATCAGGCCACCTTCAGCTGGGCTCAGCAGTAAAAAACTCCCCTTCTATATGCTATCAGCTGCCCGCCAAAGCAAGTTGCTAACTAGGGAGGCAAACTGTATTTCCCAAACGAGTTGATTCCAACAGTAAGGGCCAGTTTTAAGCAGTTGCCCTAGGCATGCATGATATATCTGTTTTTTAACTGTTAGTTTCATCCTCTCGTACTTATAATGATGATTAATTTCCCTAATGCTGTAAAGAAGAACTTCTGTTTCCAAATGCCCTTTCCATCCATGGTTCATGCTTAGGCCACCTGCACAAGACACAAGCCAAAATTGTGGTGGATTCTGGCTTCACATCACAAGGGGGCTTGCTAGTTCGTGGTACCTGGCCTCTTGCTGGTAGGAGCCAGGAACTTTCCACTGCCAAACATGGAACAACAAGCCGGGAGCTGGGTTCAGACATCAAGGTTTCTCTTGTTGGGGGATTCTTGGTTTCCTGGTTACTGAATCCTGGTTATTAATTATTATTATTATTATTATTATTATTAATTATATTTCTATACCACCCATAGCCGAAGCTCTCTGGGTGGTTCACAGCATTGAAGTCCCCCATCCAGATTCCAACCAGGCCTGACCCAGCTTAGCTTCCAAGATGAGGCGTGATCAGGCCCTTCAAGCTACATGGTTGGAGAGAGTAGCTGGGGGAGTGTGTCAACAATGCTGCTAGGGCACTTGTCTGTGCAAGAAAAGCCAGGATAGCCCAGAGCATTGGCTGAGACATCTGTGCAAGTGTGACCTTAGTGTGAAACCACAGTGCCTGACTGAAGTGTCCTTGCCGCACGCATGACTTGCAAGGAAACAGCAACTTTTGAAGTGGGTTTCCGCTTCTGACTTGTGAGTAAAGTAAAATTTAGGCAAGACCCTCTCTTCCCCCTTCCCCCCCTTGCCTCTCCTTCTTTCCTCCTCTCTCACTTTATTTTTGTCTTTTGTTTGATTAAATTGGGTGTTCTTGTAAATTCCAGGAAGATGTCCCCCCATCCTTCTCTTATTAAACAACTTTTGTTTATTAAGGGTGTAAGTCCAATACATATTTCCCCTGAGAGTAACTCCAGTGGAACTCAATGGGACCTGCCTTTGAGTAAACATGTACAGGATCTCAATTTTTCCAGCCTTTGCTTGCCCAAGTAGCATCTGCAATGAGGTTTCAATAATATTCATCTGAGCTAAATCTGATCTGTTAAAATGAGAGGGACCACACAGTTTAGTGCTTTACACATCTGTTTTCCTCTAGCAAATGCCACTTCAGCGTTAAAGAGTCTGTATCTGGCTATCACTTCCCAGACTAAAAAGGCAGCCAAAACTCTTTTATAACTCTGATCATGCTGAGAGTCGTTCTCTTAAGAGTTAAACTCTAAATCCACATGCTACCAATCATTCAGATGAAGGAAAGCTTTCGTGGACTACTGATCAAATGCAAACTTAATTGCCTTGCACAAAAAACCCTCACAGAGTTATGAAATGGGAGGATGTAGAAATCACACGGCTATTGAGCTTGCTTCCCCTCTGAAGCTTCCTTGGCAGCTTTGCACTTGCCTGTTGGTATTTCACGATGAACTCTCTTCTGAAGCACAGCAAAATCTGGGGACCTTGTGTAAAAGACTCTCGCTCTTTATGTAGAAGGGGGTTAGCAAGGGAAGTCTGTGACATCATTGGGCTTCAGGCGGGAGAGAACCTGAACTTGCTGAAATTCCCTGAGTTCTGCGACTACAGAAGAAGCAAAGATCCCGTTCTCCTTGATGTTTTGATCTCTTGAATCTTAGGATCCTGGGCCATGATCTGACTCACCTGGGGCTCCAAATTGACCCTCAGGTAGCCACGGCCTCTTCCCCTGGCTTCACCTCCTTTCCCCAACTGCTCATCTCTTAGTGTCTTCCTGGCTTTTGCACTGGGCCTTTGAGATCTAGCCATGAGGCACAGCTGTTATTATCTGTGACTTCTAAAAAGCAAGTCATTTTGATGCGTGTGGCACGTTTTAAGACTTGGCACAGAAATTTGCCCAAGTGGATGCAGAGTTATTTAACTTAGCTTAACTGCAATCTTCTTTTCCACTCTTCTCCAGCAAAGAGTTGCTCGTCCTGACTTTGTGCCAGTTCTGTACAAAAGTTGAAGTTGAGGTAAGTAGCAAAGGAATGTTTGTATGTTTATGTAGTCCTTTCATTTCATTTCAATACCACCCCACAGCTGGAACTCTCTGGGCAGTTTGCACCATCCATAAAAAGAAATGATAAAAACACAATACAAATATCATAAAACCAGAGAAAACAAACAGTTTAAAACAGCTAAAATTAGATAACAAAAGCAAGAATAAGAAGGAATAACAAGCAAGGGTGATTCTGAGAATCACCACATGATCCTGCTCAGGCCCCTGAGTGGCCAAGTCTTTAACAGCCTCAGAAAAGGGGACTGTCTTAACCTGGCACTGGAAAGATGGCAGATTTTGCGCCAACTGGGCCACAGTGGGGAAGTTATTCCATAGATGGGGGCCACCACCAAGAAAGCCCTTGTCATTGTTGCCACCCTCTGCATTCCCCTTTGCATTGGCACTCAGAGGAAGGCCCCAGCGTTTGTGCATCGGTATTCTGGAAGGCTGCAAAAGGAATTCTGGTTCTCAGCTGCTTTAGCTAGCTAGTTAGTTTTTTCTCTGTTTCCCTACCTTCTTATAGCTCTTTTAAGACATGCTGATTTGGTCTATGCCCATCTGAAAATGCAGAGGCCAGTCATGATACTCTGCTGTAGTAAACCACAAACCAGGGGCTTGCAGCATCTTAAAACAGACAGATTCCTTGCAGCATCAGGTGGGATGGGCTGCTGGCCCCTTCATGTTAAACATGAAGGTGACTCCAGCCATAGATGTTTACCCTGCAGGTTTCCAGGTGTTGCAAGACTCTTTTGTGTGCCCCCAATTTCTCTGTGTTGCTTGACAACTATTATTATTATTATTATTATTATTATTATTATTATTATTATTATTATTATTA